TGGGAGCATAAGACAGTGAGAGAGAAAGAGAGAGAGAGAGAGAGAGAGAGAGAGAGAGAGAGAGAGAGAGGAAGAAGAAGAAGAAGACAATGAAGAGGAGGAGGAGGAGGAGGAGGAGGAGGAATAATGCCTAGCCAGTTTTAAGTACATGCATTTTTAAGAAGGCCTAAGTTATTTGTTTACATTTTGGCCAATTTTTATTAATGTGACTAATGCAGATATATATTGACGTTCATAACATTCAGTGTTTTAGCCACAGTTTTCAATTAAGGCTAATTTAAATGTTTTTTTATCAGTATTGGTTAGGATGACAAGGAAGATCATATACTAAAAACATTCATGTGTGGTACACCTGTGTACAGGTGGAAGTGTTGGGACAAGCCTTACACACCCTTTTAAAGATGAGAGATAAAATTGTACCCCTGAATCCAAATCTGTTTTCTATACTTCATCCATTACCTGCAAAACTGGGACAGATTTTTGTGGTTCATCTGGGTTTTACCCCCCCCACCACCCCCCAAAAAAGGGACCTAAAATTCTTATCTTGTGAGATTATTCTGGAAATTAAATTAGTATATGTATAATAAACACCTAAACATGCAGGCTCAGTGCTTGGCAAACGGCAGATACTTCATAAAGTAGCATAGAGTGACAGAACAAAACTCTAGAGAGGAAACATGCCCGACGTGATGCTGCTGTAGAAAGGATAAAGGCAAACACTAGAGACAGTAGAAGGATTCCTCATAGCCAGACACACCTGCTCAATTTGGAGACATTTATTTTCAATAAAGCCAAGGGGCATAGTTGTGTGCATTTTTTTTTGGTCTTTTTTCTTTTGTTTTGTTTTTTTTGAGACAGTGTCTCCTTGTAGCCCCAGCTGGCCTGGAACTCGCTATATAGACGAGGCTGCCTTGAACTCATAGAGATTTGCCTGCCTCTGCCTCCTGATTGCTGGACTTAAAGGTGTGCATCACCATACCCAGCTAAATTACATTTATTTGTATGTTACTGTTGGTGTGTGTGGAGGCAAGGCTTGGTGGCAAGTGCCTTTACCCACTGAGCCATCTTCCTGGCCCAATATGTGCCACCACACCTAGCATTAAGTCCATTCATTAAACACTTCTTTAGTGCCAACTTTATGGTTGGTAGAGTGTGTGGGATGGATCCAAGTTGACCAAGCTAGAGCCTATCCTGCAGAGCTCGACTACTCTTACATGTGTAAAGGTTAATGTAAGAAGGCATACCATACACAAGCTGCCTGGGTCAGGAAGGAAGTCAGCTTGGTGTCAAGGATCTGCCCCAGAGGCTCTGATGACATACATTGCCAAGCTGAAATGCAAATGGAAAATAGACTCCAGGTGCTCTGGAGAGAGGTACAGACTTTAGAGTTGGCAGTGCAGGAGCAGGCAATCACTGGGAAAGCATGAAGAGTGATAACCAGACTGAGGCCAGAACTTCAGGTAGCAAATCAAGGAAGAAGAAATGGCAAGAGACACACAGGGGGAGGACTAGGAAAACAAAGTGGAGGTTATCAGTGGCCAATTCCTAAGAAGTAAACTAGTTGACTGGAGAGATGCTCAGCAGTGAACAGGACTCAGGTTCAGTTCCCAGCACCTACACTGCCTTAACTCCAGCTCCAGGGGGATCCAATGTCCTCTTCTGGCCCCACTGGGCACCCACACATATGTGGTATATATTCATACATATGACACACATAAATAGTTTTATTTTAATTTCATTTATTATTTATTTATTTTTTATTTATTTTGGTCTTTTTGAGACAGGGTCTCCTTATAGCCCCAGCTGGCCTGGAACTCACAGAAATCCACCTGCCTCTGCCTACCAAATGCCGGGATTAAAGGTGTGTACCCCCACACTTGGCAATAATAATTTTCTTAAAAAACTAGTGTTCCAGGCTAGCTGGGGCTACAGGGAGACCCTGTCTCAAAAAAAGACCAGGAAAAAAAAAAAAAAAAGTAAACTAGTACAAGGACTGTGCAGTCTCATTACTTTGGTGATTAGGTGACATGTGTTCAGAGCTATTTTAGCAGACTAGAGAATTAGAAGCTAGATTGCTGTTTGAAAAATGGATAAAAAGTGAGGTAGTGGAAAATTACTGTTGAACTATTCTTTGAAAAGTTTGATAGTCTAGAAAAAGTTAGTGACAAGATGGTAAGTACCAGCAACAGAGTTAAGAGCTTAAGCCTAATAGCTGAGATTTAAGAGTGCCTTGCAAATTTAAACTTTAGAACCATTTGGCGTGTCTGTTAAAATGTATATTCTCCTATCTTGCGTTTTTAACTGGACAATCTTGGGAGGTAGGAAGGGAGGGTAAGTAGGTAAAGAATGACCCTCACTTTGTAAAAATTACCCAGTGATTAAATGAAATGACAACAGAAAAGCAGTGACAGGAGAGGTTCTAGAAGGTTCAAATGGGGATGGAACCAGTGAACACTGGGCATGAGAAAAGAGGTAACAACAGAAAGGATGTCTGGCTGTAGCTAGGCAGTGGGTTGGAAGTTTCATGGCTTACTGTCATGTGCTATATTATAACCCTCAAGGCTTCTGGCAGCCTGGCAGGAGGGAGCAGCTGATAATATAGCCCTTGGTAAGGGTGGGACTCAGATCTCATTTCTGTGTCTTAGCTTTCATCCTGTGGCCCTAGAATAAGCAAATTTCTAAGATTCTTGCAAGAGGTAAATAAGCATCATTAAAGAGGGAAAAGGAAACAACTTTCCTGTACTGTCAGAATGCTAGAAGCTATCACTGTTGGGGATAGGGAGCACTGCACTGCACTCCAAGAGCAAAGATCTAAGTTTCGCTTTAGTCTACTGAAAATGTTTCTGCAATACATGATAGGCGTCTGTGTTATGTCTGTGTTTATGTTTGCCGCTTTATTATGGTGCAGTGATTTCTAACTATTAAACACTGCTTCTAGTCCGCAGTCTGTGTGATTTCTCCCATGGTATTTTTCTAATCTCCATAAATGAATCTTACATGCCAGCAGCTTTTCCAGAAGGAAAATCAAGTGTTCTTATTTATTTCAGTTTAAAGCCTTTATGCCGATCTTCCCAAAGTGCTGAGCCAAAGTATAAACCACTTGGAAAACTGAAGAGAGCTAGAACAATCAATGTAGACTCAGGTAAGAATGCTTCCGAGCTTTCTGAAATCACTGTGTGGCTGGTATGGGCTCTAAAGAGGACTGTGTGGTTACCCTCGAGCACTTTCGTTAGGATACTAGCAAATGCTGAAAACTGACACCTGGTCACCATTTCCCCTGATCAGGATGAGCATGATGTTACCAAGCTCTTCTCTAATCTTTCCTACCTCCTTTTACTGCTACTTAAATTTCATGGTGAAGACCAGGGATGAGTTCTGAGGTAGAAATAAGCACTTCAGACTGAGCAAAGCCCTGCAGATTTATAGCAGCCATACTTAGTGGTTAAGATTCTGGATTTTCATTCTTAGGTAGAGGGCCAGTTACTGTACCATACAGAAAAATTCACTAGATACTACTACTTATTGAACACCTAAATGTGACAAGTATCATAGCTAAGCCTATAAATAAACTTACAGGTGGCAACATTCTGATTTTGCTAAAGAGGACACTGGGGTTTAGAGAACTGAGAAAATCCCCTAAGGTGTAGCAGGAAATGAACCAAGATTTGAACCTAGGTCTGTGTCTTCTATCTTGGCTTCTGTATTTCTACTCATTTGGAATCTAATTTTAAAACATTTAGATGTAAATTCCAGGACTGAGACAGTAAGCCCATTATTGTTATCTGAAAGAAAACAAACTTGTTTTAGTTTCATTAAAAGGTTCAAGAAAGGGGCTGGAGAGATGGCTCAGCGGTTAAGAACACTGGTTATTCTGGCAGAAGACCCGAGTTCAAATCCCAGCACCCACATGGCAGCTACCAACTGTCCAAAACTCCAGTTCCAGGGGATCCAACAGCCTCTTCTGACCTATGTGGGCACTGCAAAATGATGCAGGTGCACTTACTCATACACAAAATAAAAATAATATTTTTTTTAAAAAGGTTCAAGAAAAATAACTGTATCAGAGGCTAGGGAAGTGGTTCAGCAGTTAAGTGCATGCCACACATGCATGAGGACTGGCAGAACCCATATAAAATGTCAGGTGGGTGTGATGACTGGCCTATAATTCCAGCCTTGGAAGGCAGATGGCATCCCCAAAGCAAGCTGGTTAGGAAGACCATATCAGTGAGCTCTGGGTTTGATTAAAGAACCTGCCTCAATGAATAAAGTAGAAGAGCAATTGCTGATATTTCATGGTATCAGCCTTAGGCCTCCGTGTACACAAGCACATCCATCTTGATTACTGCAGCATGGTCTTGCACTTATCACCACTGTCTAACTTCAGAACATTTCATCACCCCACACCGTACCTATTTCTAATCATACCCAGGCCCACATACCACTGTTCTATGGCCCATCTACAGATTTACCTTTCAGTCATGAACACATGGGCTTTTGTACCTGGCATCTTTCACTTAACACATCTTCAACATTATCCACACTCTGGTGTTTCTTCTTATTGCCATGCAGTATTTACTGTATTTATTGTATGGGAGTGCCACATTTTATTCACCCATTTACCAGTGAGACGCTTGGGATGCTATCACTTTTCAGTTATGATGCTATGAAGACCCATATACTACTCTTTTTGTGTGTATGTTCTTATTTCTCTGAGTCTCTTTGGTAAAGGAGGAGCTGTCTGCAGGGTTGGGCTGGGGATGTGGCTCAAGAGTAGACCTTTTGATTAACATGCAAAAGGAAAGCTGCAAAAACGGGGTTGAAGAAAACAGTGCTTAGCTTCATGCTTTATCACAGGGAAAACGTTTTAAAGAAGTTGATTATTATTGGTTAACATCAGATTCAGCAGAATAAGAAGTTACACAGGGTTATAGTGGAACACACCTATAATCTCAGCACGAGAGAGGTGGAGGCAGGAGGATCAACAACCTGGACACAGATTTGCCATACATGGTACTATCATGGTCATTTAATTTCCTTCCTAGATTAGGTCCCTTTAGAAAGTAGGAAAACAAATGTTTTTCCCTAATTCCAGTTATATTTTTTAAAAATTTTATTATTTTTATTTTATGTGTATGAGTGTATTGCCTGTGTGTAGGTAAGTGCACCCGTATTGTGCAATGCCCGTGGAGGACAGAAGAGGCCGTTGGATCCCCTGGAACTGAAGTTAGGGACAGTTGTTAGCTGCCATGTGGGTGCTGGGATTCAAACCCCAGTCTTCTGCAAGAACAGTTAGTGTTCTTAACTGCTGAGCCATCTCTCCAGCTCCTCCAGTAACATTTTAATTTATGGAAATCTGATATATTCGTTTATGGAGAATTTCATTTTCTGAGTATAGTTTTCCCATTTTCAAAATTTAAGTGGACAGGGCTTACTGTATGCTGATATAGCATGCTTAAAATTAATGAAACAGCCGGGCCAGGCATGGTGGCATAAGCCTTTAATCCTGGCACTTGAGAGGCAGAGGCATGCAGATCTCTGTGAGTTCAAGGACAGCCTGGTCTACATAGTGAGTTCCAGGCCAGCTGGGGCTACAGGGAGACCCTGTCTCAAAAAGACCAATAAATAAACAAACAAACAAACAAACAAATTTTGCTAGCTTACAGTTATTGACATTAAAGGTGGCTTACTTCAGTTAATTTTACCTGTTTCTCAGGATCTGCCACAATCTTATGTACAAAGTATCAATAAAACATTCACAGAGGGAAAATTTTAGGAAAAGTAACCTAGTTTTATTAAATCACACCTACTATTTGCAAAGCATTAAGTTTAGAAGCCTGGCTAATGAGCAAAACTAGCTGCCATCCTATTTTTTCTAAAAAGACTCTGGGACAAGATATAGAATGCTATCTTATCTTTTTTTAAAAAACAAAAAAAAACAAAAACAAAAAAACTTTCTGGGACGGGCCTGGTGGCACATGCCTTTAGTCCTAGTACTGGGAGACAGAGGCAGGCGGATCTCTTTGATCTCTTTGAGTTCAAAGCCAGCCTGGTCTACATAATGAGTTCCAGGCCAGCTGTGGCTACAGGGAGACCTTATCTCGAAAAGACCAAACAAAACAAAATAAAAGCTCTCTCTGGGCTGGAGAGATAGATGCTCAGTGGTTAAGAGTGCATACTGTTCTTTCAGAGGACCTGAGTTCAATTCCCAGCACCTATGTCTGGTAGCTCATAACTTCCTGTTAATTCCAGCTCCAAGGGGGAATCCAATACCTTTGGCCTCCCCCAGCACTGTATTCACATACGCATACCCACACATATATACAATTAAAAATAAAGAAATGAATATCGCAAAAATAAGCAGCCTTTTAATTTGTCTTTGAAGACCAGTACCCATATTCCTTGGGGGTGGGGGTGGGGTTACGACAGGGTCTTCCTGAAGACCCATTTGGCCTGGGACTTGCTATGTAGACCAGGCTGACCTCAGCTACACAAAGATTGACCTGCCCCTACCTCCTGAGTGCTGTTTGAAGGTGTGGGTACCCATATTCTTTGCAGTTCTAATAATTAAAAACAGAGGTAAATGCTACAAATAACAACTCTTCATTAAAAGCACAAAATTATTCCCTTTTCCTTGTTTCATATACACCTGTTTTCTTTGTTCCAGAGGAGGAAGGTGATCTTTTTGATGACCCTCTACCAACACCTTTAAGGCACAAAGTTCCATACCAGGTAACTCATCACGCTGAGGTATTTTCAATGACTGCACTGTCACAAAACCAGCCTGAAAAAGCAAGACAAAGCACAGAACGCTGCAGAGTGGAGAGTATGCAGAACTCTTTTTTGGCCAACTTTATAGACTGTGAAGAATCCAACAGTGAAAGTGAAGAAGAGCTAGAAACCCTGCCTTTGCTGCAGGGAAAGCTAGGCCCTGTAGCACTTCCCCAGCAAAATGCTGATGGGGATATACCACAGTGGGACGTATTCTTCAAAAGAAATGATGAAGTCACAGATGAATGTTTGGAAAATTTCCCTTCATCCACAGAGATGGGGGGTTCTCAGTCACCAAAGCTTTTCAGTGACTCTGATGGAGAATCAACCCACATCTCTTCCCAGAATTCTTCTCAGTCAACACACATAACAGATCAAGGAAGTCAAGGCTGGGACAGCCAATCTGATACTGTTTTGTTATCTTCACAAGAGAGAAACAATGGGGATGGTTCCTCTTTGAACAAAGGGGCCTACAAACCAAAATTCAAAGAGAGTATTTCTGTGCCTCAAATGGAACAAAATGTACTTTGCCCAGAGGATACTTGCTGTGATTTGAAAAGCAGAGATAAAGAGGTAAATACAGTTTCTAGTGTTGGAAAAGAAGCCACTATGAGTGATGGGAAATACACACCTGAGGAAGCAGCAGTGCCAAATGGTACACACACAGACTCACAGAGCTCCTCTGATTTTGAAATTCCCTCAACTCCAGAAGCTGAGCTTCCTAAACCAGAGCATTTACAGTATTTATATAAAAAACTGGCAACAGGTGAGAATATAGTAGTTGAAAAAAGAAAATGTTCGCTCTTCGATATTTAAGAATTAAAATACCTCATGCTAACAAGGATGTCCAGCTTTTGATGTAGCAACATGACACTGTCAAATATAAATGTACTGGGCTATATTCATAGCTATCTCGGGATGGATGCAGCCTGCAGGCTATAGGTTAAGACACACCTATTATAGCAACCAGTAAAAAATTTATACAAAGTGACAAATCACTGTCATAACAGATCAAAATAGGGTATTTTAAAATGCTCAAATAAGGCAATTATGGAGAAACAAGATCAAAAACAGGGACAAGTTTGCACAAGATCGTATAACTAAATCTAAACATAATAAATTAAAAACAAGTGATATAAAGAAAGTGATAAAAACACAAACTCAGGGAAAAACATATCCGCCTATGTGCTGTTTACAGAAAACAATTCAAGTGATCTAAGTTAAAATTAAAGGATTTTAAAGGGATACCATGTAAATACATTAAGCAACCTGGAGTATTAAAACCAGTCAGTATCCTAATGGTCAAAGGTCTAGTTCACCAAGAGGACTCCTATGTACAACTTTAAAATACATGAAAATGAAAACTAAAAGAAAAAGCAGTTGCTGCAAGAGAACAGGCCTGTAATCCCTGCTACTCAGAAGGCTGAGGCAAGAGGATCGAAAGTTCAAGGCCAGCCTGGGCAACTTTGCAAGGTCTTATCTCAAAAGAAAGAACATGGGGCTATAAGTCAATGGTAGAGTGCTTGTCTAGCATGTAGGTTCAATCCCCAGTACTGCCTCTTCACAAAAGAAACCAACTAATATAATAGTTATAAAGATTTTACCATCAGGGTTTGGAGAGATGACTCAGTGGTTAAGAGCACTGGCTGCTCTTGCAGAGGACCCAGGTTTGATTACCAGCACCTACATAGTGGCTAACAACCATCTGTAACTGCAGTTCCAGGGGATCCGACGCCCTCTCCTGACCTCTGCAGGCATTACATGACAGTGGTGCACTTAAAAACATGTTGGCCACACACACATAAAAATTAAATTATTTAAAAAATTAAAGTATTTTAAAAAGATTTTAACATGTTGGGGCTGGAGAGATGGCTCAGTGGATAACACTGCTCTTGCAGAAGACCCGGGTTTGAATCCCAGCACCCACATGGCAGCTAACAACTGTCCGTTACTCCAGTTCCAGGGGATCTGACATTCCCTTCTATCCTCTGCAGGCGTTGCACAACATGGGTGCACTTACAATGCAGGCAATACACGCACACATAAAATAAAAATAATAAAATATTTTTTAAAAAAAAGATTTTAACATGCTTAGTATCTATGCAGAGAATCAGTAATACAGAACTGAATCCACCAGCCAACTAGATCTGATTGACTATTTCACTTAGAAGGAGAATATACTTCTTTAAGTATATATGGAACATT